TTATATAGTATAGTTATAGAAGTATAGTATAAGAACTACGCTATAGTTACGTAACTACTTATCTATAAGTAGAATAGCGCTAGTTCTATATAAGCGCTTATCTACGAGTATTAGTAGTTAGACTAATAACTAGTAAGATATATTACTACTTATCTATAATTACTTATATACTTATTTATAAGCGTAATACTTATTAAGTATATAGCTTAGGCACTAAACTCTTATAGTTTAGTATATTTAACTTTATATAAGACTCTAGTATTTAATCTAAAGATTATACTTTCTTAACCTCTTATAATATTATATTATTCTACTAAACGTGCTATTACACTCTTATACTATTATATTAATCTACTAATTATACTAGTATACCTACTCTATCTAGCGCACTCGCTTATACTCTAAGAACTAACTCTTAGATTATCTTAGAACAATCTTTATATAGTACTTCTTAAGTATAATATTAGTATTAGATAGGTAAATACTAGTAGCTTTAAAGGACCTTCTAATAGTTTAAAGCTTAAAAGTAGTACCTTAGACACGCTAAAAGAGTAGAAAGAAGTCTTCTTTTATTATTAGAAAGATTCTCTAACTTCTCTAAAGGTAGTTTAAAAGCTTAGTTAAGTAAGCTTCTAAGAGAGGCTTAAATATTCTAATATTAAGTAGTTAAAGCGTATAGATTACGTAAGATAGAAATAGCGCTAATAGAATCTTATTATTATTATAATAATTAATAAAATCTATAGTTTTATAGAATCTATAGCTATTAAGAAGAAGTAATTAGTAACCTAAGTAAGCTTACTATCTAGTCTCTCTCTTAAATACCTTCTTTAACTAAGTAAGCTCTATATTATTATTTATCTAGTCTAATAGAGATAAGCTTATAAAGACTAAGTACTTTTTACTATTAATAGCGTCTATCTATAAGAATTATAGAGCTCTAGTAGCTAACTAAAAAATAAGTAATAGGCTTAAAGCTATACTATCTATACAAACGTAAGCTAGAATAGTTATCTACTATATATTACTATCTTAAAGAGCTGCTCTAACTTCTTTTTAGTTATATAATACTTTATTAAATATACGTTTTAAACGTCTAAGTAATCTAATTTAAAACTCTTTTTTATCTATATTATATATATAGGTAGGCTCTATATTATACTTCTTTATCTTATTATATAAATTCTTAAAGTATAAGCTATACTTAGTAGCTAAATTAGCTTTATAGCGCTTATAGTCTATCTCTATCTACTAGCGTAATATAAGATAAAAAGCGTTTCTATTTAGAAAGCGTATAACCTAGCTATTAGAGATATTTTTTCTAGCTAAATCTAAAGTAAAGTTATGTATTATTATCCTTGTAAGTAGTAAACGTTACTTAGTAAGCTTCTTAATATACTATATAAGCTCTATCTTATATTATAGATAGATAGAAAGGTATATAAGCTCGCGTAGCTAGGTTTGCCTCTAGTATTTTTAAGCGAGCGTTTATTAATTAACGCTATACTTTTTTATAACTTATATATATAAGAAAGTTATACTTTTTTTACGTAAATTAATTTCTTTAATTACTTCTTAAATTAAATTTATATTAGTAGAGTTATATCGCGATTTGTGTAGAGGTTGTTGTATTGTTGCCCGGGCATTACGCGATCGGGGCATTGCCCGCGCTAAGACGGTAGTGCCAAACAGAAGAGAAGCAGCCAATCAACGAAGCACAGCCGCAATTGCCCAAGTAGTACATATAGCAGCAGCGTGCAGACCCGCAAGGAGACGGAGCAGTGGCTGAGTGATCGCATGAGGCTGAGGGATGCTACATTGTCAGGCTGCTGTATCAATAGGATGCAGCGCAAGTAACTTTAGACTCTACACCAAGAAGACCTTCAGACGCCAAGGACCAGCGCGAAACCAGGCCAGGCGTCCGTCATACCACAGCTCAACCGTATTATATCCAGGAAGAACAGTTCAGGCCTGTTAACAAACTACCTGCTATTCAACCTCTCGTTGAAATACAAAGGAGATGTCGGTGATGATTATGAGACGGAGCTCTCTATATGTAAACAACCTGTACCATGGTATCTTCGAACCCAGGAACGCCAAATCCGAACAGCAAATCCCAAGCCATTACCCTAGTCACACTTATTCCGACGCGCCGCCTCAACGACATATTCCACTAGTCCATTATTCCAGCCAACCCGCATCAGATTGGCACCCCTCGCTCGATCTTTCTCCTACTTCTTCCTGCCCCCACTCCGACTGCGACTCCTCGTCGGACTCAACGCAACCGACAGCCCATTCGTGGACGGCCTATCCGACTCTGTCGCAGCCGAGAGCCCCTCACACCAAGCCTGTTCCTGCGCCTTCCTCGCCTGAACCTGGCTCAGTGTCTTCTTAAGCGCACCGTACAAATGCTGATTATCGCTCGAATCCAAATCGACCCAGAAAGAATATATCGAAAGACACTGATGGTTCATGTTCTTGAAACGCCGGAGAATGTATTGACGTGCACTCAACTCCGGATCGGATTCGTTGCGGACGTAATCGGGGAAAAGCTTCTCCAAGGGTGCGTAGGCCATCTTGCTGACGAAGCGGGTAAAATTATTGAGAATGAGTATTATGGTGGATTTGGCGAAACCGGGACGATTGACCCATTGTTCGAAGCCTTCAAATTCGTGGACTAGGATGGATTCGGAGGGCCGTTCGGGGCTGGGCTTGTTGTAGAGGGATACGTCAACAGTGAAAATGACGGCAGTCGCGTCTTCGAGTTGATGGTACCAGCGCTCCTTGAAGTGTTGAGGGACGTAGCCTTTGATGTTGAAGAGGTGGATATCTAGCTCGTCCCAGTTGAAGCGTGTTTCGTTGATGCCACCACCAGATCGGGTTAGGCGTATGATGTCGGCCTCGCTGGGGACATAATCTTCCTCGGCTATGCGTGGTGCTTCTTGCACGAAGTATGGCGCGTACTGCGGGAATTCGATCTCGAAGTTCCTGACGTATAGTTTGGAGAATTCGGGACAGGACCAGATTCTGGTGATTGCCTTGACGGCGTCAGACGATATGCCTTCCTCCCTGGCGTCTAGCTCGTGCAACAAGATGGCGAAGTCGTGGGTCAGTTCGGCAGAGAGCGTAACACCAGTTTCTGTGAGTAAGTTCGTGATAGACGATATGAGCGATCTTACAACTTGGTAAACTGCGGGGCGGTACTTCAATCGTTCTTCCGTCTTATCATAACCTTCGGCGAATTGCACTTTCAGCTGATGCATTATCAACTCTTTGCCACCCTGTGGATTGCCTACAAGGACCAGCTTAGTCTCGTGCCGAAGGTTAGTAGCTTCTCTCTCCAAAGCGCGATCTATTGCTTCGGACCGGTTGATTGCTGCCATATGCTCGTACTCTTCGTCCGATGGTGTGATCGTTCCATCGAAATCGTTCCGCGCAATCTTCATGTGGAACAATAGTCTCAGCCATTGGATGAATCGCGATAATTGCGCAAGGCTTGTAATGCAAGCGCCGTTTAATTTCGAGGATTGGGTGAGGGTCCTCAGATTTGCCGCATCTTCCTTCCTGATCTGGCGGCTCTTATGAAGCAGGATCTTTCGTTGCGCTTGTGCAGTACTGAGAGGCATTAGAATCAGTTGTACGTAGGGGTGGGTTAGCAGCTCACCATTGGCATGCCGCAAGTAACAAGTTCACGGCGTCATTCTGTCGTTGCGCAACCTGCTGCAATCGCTCCATAGATCTACTAGCGACGCTGTATTTTAATTTGGAAGCGACATCGACAGCACCATGGTCCCGGTAGTCCAGACGCGCATTCAGGGCATCTACATGGCGTACCAGCAGCCCACAAGAATGCGCTAGTACGTCCAAGTCGGATACCAGTTGTGGATGGAGGTCGCTAATAGCATAATTGAGCCAGTCCAGGATGTTACCGAGACTAGACTTCAATGCTGTTAGTTGCGCGATGAGGTTGATGGAAGAGCCATCGCTATCTCTCCAACGATTGTGGATATGTCGCAAGCCGTCGATGTTCTGTCGCAGCTGATCGCGAATCGTGCCGATGGCGCTAATTAAGGCGAACACCCTTTTCTCATCGTCCGCCATGGCGCGATAGCGTCGCGTCGCGTCGCAGCAAAACAAATGTCGTGGATCGATTGGGCGGCGCCGGATTGCTGAACAAGTGTCTGACTGTCAGGAATTGTTGCGACTGACGGCAACGCTCGCGAGACCCCGCGCATTTAGTCAGAAACAACCAGGATTAAGGTTGGCACTTGCGGATGATTGTCACAAGACAGAACACAACAAGGAAGTCATCAGCGCCAGATCCGCGGAGGTGGATGGCCTGCTTATAGGGATGGCCGTGGGCCCAGGACCCGAGAAGATACCGCGAGCTTGGGGCGCGATGGGGCTATCTTGCGAGAGTTGCACCGCGATCAACAGGGCGTGCGGACAGTGCGGGATTCCAACAACAGCGGCGCGGGCTCATGGTGAAAACGAGCCAACAGTTTCTGCCGTGATCTCAACGGCGTGATAGCGCGTTTTGATGCCAGGGGGAAACGCGGCCAGCGGGTAGTGTGGCGGTCCCTGATGAGGGATGCCGGCTAATTTGGGGCGCGGATGCCGAGCGGCGCAGTTTGATTTCAGGTACAAAACGATATCGTCTCCTGACTGCACAACCGCTTTGGGTTGAGCTGATGTCGACCGAATTAGGCGTGCAGTGTACGAAGAAGAGTCACAAAGTGGCCTCGTTGTCGCCATGATCGATGACTCCCCAGACCTCCCGGCTCACATGTGGCTAGTGCAAACGCCACCAAGCGAGAACTCTGTCGTCATCGTCCGATGAGACACCTAGGCATTCATTTTTCCGCCCAGCAAACATGAGCCCTATAAACGCCAACATGCCGACCCTGCGATCGTTCGACTGATTACTGACACTTCAAATATCAACATTACATTATTAGTCGTCCAAGCCTTGAGCAAAAGTGTAGGAGGGCGACTACAGCATGGCGACTATCGACACGCTGCCGAATGAGATTCTCTCGTTGATAACGAGCCATCTTGAACGACCGCGGGATTTACTTTACCTCTCTTTTGCAAGCCGCCGGTTGAGCGAGTTCGCAAAGCTCGATGGATGGAAAGCTTTGCTCAGAGGCCGCTTTGGCCTGAGCGGTCTGGACGCGGATGCCTACAACGCCGTCCACGGCGTGACAACATTATGCCGAAACTGGGATAGAAGAGGTCTGATCGCAAGGTACCTAGAGCCAACGGAGAAGACGATGAGCATGAATACCTGGCGAGCCGAAAGATGGAGGGGTCCACAGGGTCAGACAATGGGCTATCAACCTAGCATTGACAGCTATGAAGAGATATATGGATCGTGGGGAGAAAGAAAAGAAGTATTGGCATGGTCTGCCGGTACGCAAATTGTTATGCGTACGAAAGAGACAGGTGCGAACATCGAGAAGATCAGACAACGTGAAGAGGGGCTCGACCAGGCGCCTGACCAGACGTGGAGGTATGACGCGTTCAGACACTTGAATACGTGGTTCACGTATAAGATCCCAGACAGCTCTGAAGGTCGCGACGACATCGTCAACTTGAAGTTGCTCCGTCCGCATCAACGGGATTTAGCCTCCGAAGACATCGTCTTTGGGACGGCATCAGGCCAGCTATCGGTACTCAGCGCCAGTCCTGATTTTGCAGAGACGCGGGTGCAAAACTATAATACCGACCGTCCTAATGTCTTTGATGAAACCAGAAAACGAGCCATCGCCGAACTTTCGATATCGTCTTCGAGCACGCCCTTGTTAGCCACCGCACTTTCGGATACATCGCTAGCGATTTACCCTATCGATCGTCACAACTTCTCGGATGAAGCGATTAGACCCTCTTCCACAACAAAGACCGTATTAGACGGAAAACCACAACGTAAAATATGGTCATGCGAGTTTATAAGCGATGATGCTGTCGCCATTGGATGGGGTCCCCACGCCGAACCTATCGAGGTCTACCACATTGGGCCCGAAGGCTTTGTATCAGAGCCTTTGCGTCGCTTCACTGTGGCCAGCGAGAGCCTGGCGCATTCAAATCACACGGCGGTTTATTCTATACTCCCAGTACCCAGCACATCACCGGGCGCATCGGAAGCGGGTCACACTTTCCTGTCTGGCGGCTACGATGGCATCGTTAGGCTGCATGACATGCGCTCACCACGCGGCTTCGAACAGATCTTTTGGGATCCAACAAACGATTCGGCAGTATACTCTCTTGCCGCACAAGGGCGAGAACGCTTCGTAGCAGGTGTAGCTCTACACAGCATGATCAAGGTGTTTGACCTGCGCTTGTCAGGCTCGCATTCATACCACGCTGTTTCTCTACCCAGCAGCAAACCGAAAGGCAAGGCAGTTTCGCGCGACTCGGCCACCAACACCGTCGATGATAACAAAAGCCAAAGTTCAAGAAAAAGTGGCGGCTGGAATCTTTACCTCAAGCCCCGCAACCCTGTCTCACGCGCGCAGCAAAATTCCCCCGTCTACAGTCTTTCCATTCCGTCGTCGACATCACTGAACTTATATGCCGGTCTTGAAGGCGCCGTCCAAAATCTTACTTTTCACGGCATCGCGGATACATACCCGGATCCTATGCTGTCATACGGCTTGGTCCGACATCACAACAACATTGATGTTCGCAAATCTTATAACCCAGACGGTGGAGTCATGAACTTGGGTATGTATGAGCAAGGTACGGAAGAAGGAATAGGGATGCAGTTGTTGGTTCAGGGCGGTGTGACGGCTAGCGTCGTACGCAAAGAACGGAGAGACAAGGCAATGGCTAAAGGGATAGACGAACGCTGGATCGACTTGAGGGATGAGCAGGATAGGTGGTCCGCGGGTGAGGTGCCACCGCCACAGGAGGAGCCACCGAATGAGTCGAGAACGGGTGGAAGAAGACGCAGACGACCTGGGAGAGAACGTGGATAAGACTCGCTGGGACGCGTTGTAGTATCCAGCCAATACTATTACGAATTACCTAGCTAGACTACGGTAATCGTACGCTCCACGGCCCTATCATAAAACCAGGGCTTCCACATGCCGCTAACAAGTCCAATCCTGACGTAGTCACCCTTCCTCGTCTTGCTGGGCTGCAGTAAAAGAACATCAAGCTGCATCGCTGCCCAGGTTCCGCATTCGTACAGCCCGAAGCAGATCACAGAATCCCAGTCTATCTCCCTTTCGAGCTTTGTGTATTGCGCAGCATTCGTTGCATCTCGGTAAAGGAAGGGCACCATGAGACATAATCCCGAGTCAAGGTACACGTCCGCCGTGTCTTGCTTGTCATCGGACGTCTTGTACCATAAAATCAAGTCACGTCCAGGCACCACCGGCCCATTGAGGCGGATCGACGCATGTCGAACTTTCCCGTAAGGATTGGACGTGGCCAGGTCAACGTCGAAGCTTTTCAAAGTACATATATCTCTCTTATGGTCTTCACGGCCTTTGACAACAGGAAGCACATGCGAGCTCCATGAGAACGTGGGACCCAGCACGTCAACGTTTTCGGGAAAGGTCCAGCGCCGGTAATCAAGGCCTGGCTCAATGTGCCATGCGAGTTGGAATACGATGTCTTTCTGCCAAAGTCCAGCGATGAATTCGCCAGCCTTTAAGTGCGCTAGAGAGGCTGCAAGGCCTGAGAGCGCCGGAAGTGAATCGCCTCCGTAGGTGAGATTCATCTTGCTGTACTCCGACGCAACTAGCATCCAATCGGCTCCAAAATGGAATTTTTTGGGGTCAAGGTTCGGCTCGTCCCGCAGGTCCAGAAAGGTGCCGAGTCCGTCATCTTCGCTGTAGTCAAAGTCCTCCTTGCCAGCTGCGCCACACTCACATTGTCTTTCAAGCTCGCACTGGAAGACGATCTCGGTGGGCAGGAAGTGGATAGTGCGGCGGGCTAGATATCTTTCTTGGAAGCACCAACCCCGTGAATCCAATGCGTAGTGGATATTTGGTGCCTTCCAGTCACAATTGTGGCCTTCAATTTGTCTTGCTCGCACTTCAAGGATTCCCTGGCCAGGCTGTGTGTACTTGAGAACGAGCGGTGGCTTCGAACTCTTTCTCAAGAAGCCATCTCTGCAATCTTCGGTGGCGGTGGCTGATACGACAACGTACGCAGTCTCGTAGATGTCGGCCATGATTGATGCCTCCCTTGCCCAATCATCATCGTCGTCTTGTACGATACAGATCCGATCTATCCAGAGGTACTCGAGGCCCAGTCCTCTAGTAACGCGAATAGCGTCTTGGAGAGTTTGAGGAAAGTCTGATGTTACCAGCTTCTTGTAACGTTCTTTGACATTGGCTTTCAATGTTGCAGAGTTCGCGTCTGCTCCCCAACGATAGGAAAGCGCAGCGAACTTCACCGGAACTCTCGGTGAGCAGATCTGCGCCTTGTGCTCTTCACTCTTACTCAGCTTGATCAGACGTGAAGGCCCACGATAATGACCTGTTGGAGCATGATCGTGTGTCTTCTGACAGTGATCAATCCACTGTTTCATGACATCAATCGAGGCTTGTGAACCAGCATCTTGATCAAACTCTCTCATGAACGGGAAGGGGCCCGGTCGAATGGCAGCTATAGGTTCTGTTATTATATCAGCAAAGACCCTCCAACGAGATGACAGACCTACCAATTGAGTACAGCTGAACGTGAATGTCTCTACATTTGTCATTTTCGACGCTTTCTCGAAAGCATAACTGTTTGTCGCTTGTATCTCCTTGGAAGCATATTTTGATCAACCTACAACGCGGTGCAAAACCTTGCTGGCATTTCCGCAGGATGTTACAAAAGCCGCAGTCTTCCCTCAAGTTTGAAATCTTGATTTCTCGCCTCGGAATTCGAAAATGTTTCTCTCGGTGGTATTCCTCTCGGCGGATCACCTCAGTACTTCCGAACTCACGGCATGCGGGGCAACAGATTTCGTAGAAAGAGAATTCTTCGTTGGACACTAGAGCAAGTTGGTCCGCGTGTTGAGCGCTACTCCGTTCATTTCCCCCGTAGAATCTCCTGGCGAGAGACCTGCACAAAATTTAGTACGTGTCCCTTCAAAGCGATCAGATTTACTCACTCAGCCTTCGTGCGACGCTGTAAATACGCCTCCGCATCTCTGTCTATGTTCGTGGAATCTAAGCATACGCGACCCAGCTTTGTCGTTATTTCAGCAAGATGTTTCTCGGATTCGTACGGATAGAATCTCTTGACCATGGGCCTACGGAAGGTCAATACAACTCGATATTGCATGCAAATCGCCTTACAAGAACTCTGAGTGGCGTATTGAGGACGCCCCCGCAACTGCCTGTTCGCCATCATAAGGCGAAGTGCGCATGGGTGTTCGTCTCATGACAACAAGAAGATAGACAGACACGGTGAAGGTCAACTCCACCTTTGGCAAGTAGCAGATTTCTTGAAGGCATGATGAATGCAGTGCTTTTTAATAATTCTCTCGCGTGTATTACGCGCCTCGTAGGCATGTTGGGCAAGGCTGAAACAGGTTGAGGCGACGATCCTGATCCCGGCGCTTACACTGTGGCGGTGCCATGTAGGCGCTTAACCGAAGCCCATCTCACAACAGGAGCATGAAGAACGGCGTATCCGCGTACCCGCAATTTCAGTATAGATGTTTGTTATTCCATCGGAGTACACACAGATCTTACTTTCCCATTTTGCTGCAGCATGTATCGGTCAAAAAGGTGACCGGTCAGCTGACGTCACGCCAGTCCACCTCGATCCAACACCCTCCGTACCCAGCATGGTTGTTAGCTGTTCAGCCGCAACAACGAAAACCTCGAAAGCAAAAGCCCTCCCTAATGTCGATGTCCTTGGCTTCCTATGATAAAGCTCATCGCCGTGAACCTCCTTCCAATGCCTAAGTATCCAAGCTTGCCCGAAACATGGACACGGTATGGCATCGGCAAGAGACCCCTCCATCTCATCCATCTCACCCATATACCAGCAAGTAACGCAAGACCGCGTGGCCATATGTCTCAGATATCGTGATGTGGTGCTACCAGCGTGGCAGTAGCCTTGGCGTAAGCTGTTTCGCGGCTTCCGCGCGTGAACAATAGCCCGATGGAGTAAGATACTTCGTTTGAAGCGAATTTTGGAGACAGCTGAAAGTCGATTGTATCGTCGTGGTCATTTTCTGTGCGTGGTAGTTTGCCGGTTCAGTGGTGACGCGCGTTATCTTTGATCGGGGAAGAGACTTCGCGTTGACTGCGACGGAGGAAAACGTTCTGGCACGGTTTTGCCTGCATTATTCGCATCAAGCGAGCCATCGCGGACTGAAATCGATGCGTTATAGACGTTCAGATGTAGACCAGCCTTTCGTAGCTCGAAGGATCGCATACAAGCGCGTACTGCTAGGCGTTGGTCACGTCAGCTTACTTGCTGTCTCCACCCAAGCCATACGGCAAAAAACGGGGGAAGAGGATCTCGAACCTCAATGTGGAGCAGTCCGCCGGCCCTGATTATACGGCGAGTACGAGCACGAGGTAGGCAGACTCACGTTGGGGTTGCCAGGCGCTTGGCTGTGTGATGCATACTCTGCGCCATAGCCGTAGACATCCGTGTTCGATGAGAAGTCGCGTTGGAAATGTGACGGTGATGGCGCATGCGGGTGCTGAAACGATGGCCGTGCTGGGTGGGTGTGGTATCGGTACATAGAGGGGCGGGTGGTCGCAACTGCCTGCGCAGAGTAGTCTAAACTCGACATCCACGCTGGCGGCATGTTCCAGGGTATGCTCGCTGGTGGAGACGGAGAGTAGATGTGCGTGTTCCAATGAGGCGGGTAAGAAGGATACGCTTGGTCCACTGCGAGATGATGGGGATCAAGGGATGCGACGGTAGCTGCCAGTATGGCTTCGTTTGCAACTGCACTGCTTGCGCCGAAGACACGGTTTGACGACATCTGGTAGGGCGACGAACTCGGGCCCGCAATGTCGTAGTCCGCAGACAGAGAGCGCGGGTACACTTCGTGCTGCTCAGGCGAAGGTTCTGACTCCTGACGGCCCTCTGAGTCGTCCCTGATCAACTGCTGGAGGTATTGGAGCTTCCGTTTGCGCTTCTCTCCTATACCGAATGTCATTAGTTGTGGTCACCACAAGCGACGACCCGTGGGCTCACGTACGATAGTTACGTGAAGCTATCCTGTTCTGTTGCTTTCGTATCTCGCTGTTGGGCTTCTTAGGCTTCTTCCCGGGCTCCTCACTCACTGCCGCTCGTTTTGGTCGCGCATCGGGTGTGGAAAGAAATTGTGACGATGAAGTGGTAGGAGGAGAGTCCATGGCGCCAGCTAGTGTATTCGGTAACCAGAACGATGGGATCAATATTGCCCGAAAGCGTTGGCGAAGGCTTGCTTTTGAGCCGCTGATCAGTTCCTAATTGCAAGACGGCAGGGTTACATCCAAGCCGTAAAGAGAGCTTAGCCTAGACCCTACATCAACGTTGGCTAGGTACAGCCAGGCGACGGCTTCCGCTGCCGTGCTTTTCCTGGGCACTGCTGATTAAACACAACAAGAATAGCAACAGCCCCAATGGGCGGCGGAGGCAAGTAACGCACTTCACCACTATGCTGCCGTCAACCATGGTCTTAACTTCGCCGCACGGCATTATGATATGGTCATCCGAGATGCCAAATCCAAAGGGTATTCATTTCGAGGACTTAGTCATAGCTGCCTGTAATGCTGTGCGACAGATGCGGATTGAGAGCCGCTTGGTCACTGAACCCCAAGATTACTTGTTTCCGCATTGGGCATACTGAACGAACAGTATAGCCATGAGTGCTTGCGTTTGAAGAAGAGCTGAATCATCTCGGAACCGTGATCCGATCTGACGTATGTATGGTGGATGCTGAGATGCACGAGAGCAGGCGGAGCAGGCGGTAGAGGCATCTATCTCGTCCCCACCGCCTGCACCATCACTCTCCGAGGAAGCT